CGGGGCAAACTTACATGCATGTGGAGGGGCCCTGAATGTGTGTCTGCTCGCATGGAGGGGGCGGGTGGGAGATAGAGAGGTTCATCGTCGTTTAGTCGTGTCCAACTCTTCGTGACCACATGGACCAGAGCACGCCAGGCCCTTCTGTTTCACTACCTCCCGGAGTTGGGTTAAATTCATCTTGGTTGCTTCGATGAGACTGTCCAACCATCTCACTGTCGTCCCCTTCTCCTCTTGTCTTCACACTTTCCCAGCATCAAGGTCTTTTCCAAGGAGTCTTCTCATGAGATGGTCAAAGTACTGGAGCCTCGGCTTCAGGATCTATCCTTCCAGTGAGCACTCAGGTTTGATTTCCTTTAGAATTGATAGGTTTGTTCTCCTTGCAGTCCAGGGAACTCTCAAGAGCCTCCTCCAGCACCACAATTCAAAGGCATCAATTCTTCGGCGGTCAGCTTTCTTTATGGTCCAGCTCTCACTTCCATATATCACTACAGCTTTGACTATTTGGACTTTTGTTGGCAAGGTGATGTCTCTGCTTTTTAAGATGCTGTCAAGGTTTGTCATAGCTTTCCTCCCAAGAAGCAGGCGTCTTTTAATTTCATGGATGCTGTCTCCATCTGCAATTATCATGGAGCCCAAGAAAATAAAATCTGTCACTGCCTCCATATCTTCCCCTTCTATTTGCCAGGAGGTGATGGGACCAGTGGCCATGATCTTAGTTTTTTTGATGTTGAGTTTCAGATCGTTTTTTGCACACTCCTCTTTCACCCTCATTTCGAGGTTCTTTAATTCCTCCTCATTTTCTGCCATCAAAGTGGTATCATCTGCATATTGGAGGTTGTTGATATTTCTTCCAGCAATTTTAATTCCAGCTTGGGATTCCTCCAGTCCAGCCTTTCGCATGATGCATTCTGCATATAAGTTAAATAAGCTGGGGGACAATATACAGCCTTTCAAATATTTGAAAGGTTTATTTATTTATTTATTATTGGATTTTTATCCCGCCCTTCTAGACAGACATCTACTCAGGGCGGCTCACAGTATATTGTGCATAAACAAGTTAAAAACAATTAAAATCTACAATAATACTATAATCAAGATGGGAATAAACAGCAAAATCAAGAAAAGTAAAAGTCAAGTAATAGCAGAAGGGAAGGCTTGCCTAAAGAGCCAAGCTTTTAATTGGCTCTTGAAAACACCAGCGAAGTTGCCAGGCGAATCTCTGGTTGCAAGCTGTTCCAGAGTCGAGGGGCCACTGCTGAGAAGGCCCAGTTTCTTGTTCTTTCTTTCTGGGCCTCTCTTGGTGTCAGGCCCCTCAGCTGTCTTTCCTGGCTATGGTGAGTGACTCGAGTAGATCTAGGTGGGAGAAGGCATTCTGCCAAGTATCGAGGTCCTAAACTGTTTAGGGCTTTGTATGTCATCATTAACACTTTGAAGTCTACGCGGAAACGAATGGGCAGCCAATGCAGAGCAGCCAGAATGGGAGAGATATGTTGGAATTTTCTCGTTCTAGTAATCTAGCTGCCGCATTCTGCACCATTTGAAGCTTCCGCATCAGTCTCAAAGGTAGCCCCACGTAGAGTGCATTACTGTGGTCTAATCTCGCGATTATGAGTGCATGGACCAGAGTGGTGAGGGCCCCACCATCAAGATAGGGACACAGCTGGTCAATCCGCTATAGGTGGTAATTGGCGGAGTGGACCACTGACACCACCTGGGTTGTCATACAGAGGAGGGGCAAGATCTGTTCTCGATCATCCCAGAGTGCAGGACACACAACAATGGGCTCAAGTTAAAGGAAGCCAGATTTCAGTTGAATATCAGGAAAAACTTCCTAACTTTTAGAGCAGTATGACAGTGGAAGCAGTTACCTTGGGAGTTGGCTAATGCTCCAACAATGGAAACATTCAACAAAAACCTAGATAATCACCTGGCAGATATGCTTTGACTGCATTCCTGCATTGAGCAGGGGGTTGGACTTTATGGCCTCATAGGCCCCTTCCAACTTCACTTTTCTATGATTCTATGATTTAATAATAATGTACTGTTTCCTATTCTGAAGTAAAAAGGAGAGTACTTGGTTGACTCACCCAGCATGGAACAGAAAGAAGGGCAAAGGCAATGCTAGCCCGGGCAGCACTTGTTCCCAGCAGGTAGGAGTGAGCTGACTTGTTCCATTCATTGGCTAGGAAACAGAACCCAACAAACCATAGGCATGTCCAGATGACTAAGGAGAAAATAAGAGGTTAGAATGTGATATAGCTGAAGACTCAAAGCTTCAAGCCACAGTTTTGCAGTACATTTTGTTCTATCTGGGAAAGATAATACAAATTTCTGTTTATACCTCTGGTCATAAATTACACTGGCCAGTACACTGCAGAAACTGCTTTAGTGATCTCTCAAGGTGCTAGTCACTCAGGATCAAACATATAACTGACACCTTCCCTCTCACACACATGATAGTATAGCCTAACACTGGAAATTATAATGTACTATTTTATTATAATATATATTTCATCTATATACCATTTTTCTTCCCATGCAGGGATTCAAGACAGCTGAAAGGGGGGGAGAAACATATTCTATATTAAAATGCAATTAAAGGCGATAATAAAATCTTAAGTAAAGATTTTAGATTTTAGATTTAGAACTACAACATTTCAGAAGGAGAAAAAATACAGCACCTCTATTAAAAGTTCATTTCCCTGCTCTACAATCAGTTGCCAAAAGCATGAAAGAGAAAGGTCTTTTTCAGTGGAAGGACAACAAGGAGACAAGGTGCCCCTAGTCTTCCATGGGAAAGAGTACCACAGCCTGGAAACAGCCAGCAAAATGGCTCTCCTTTGTCTCCTCATTAGATGTGCCTGTGAGGTCATTTGGATCAATACAAGGCACTCTCCTGAAGATCTTAAAACCTGGGGAAGCTCCTATAGGGAGAAGCAGGTCATAATCAGCAGTTTGAATAGAACTCAAAATGGAACAGTAACCAGTGCAGCAGTTTTAACATGGCTATTACAACCTCCCTGTGCTGTACTGAGTCTCTCCCAGTCTGGTCACAGCACTTTGATCGATTCTAGGTGATGTTTCTGAACAATTGTTAAAAGCAGCCCTATGAGGAGCATTTATAATAATCCAAGTGGGATGTAACAAATGTCTGTGTGCAGATCAGACATCCCAAGGAATGGGCACAGCTGGTGCATTACCTTTAACTGTACAAATGCACTTCTGGCAACTGACAATACCTGGGCACCCAAACTCAAGGCTTGGAATTTTCAAGTGAAGTTCCCCATCAAGCACACATTGAATCCCTGTTGCTTGATCTGCCTTTTGATTCACCAGGTGCACTTCCGTGTTGTCTGGATTAAACTTCAATTTATTGCCCCATATCCAGTCCCTTAATGACATCAAATATGTTTTAAACCCAAAACAGCTTTCCTGGAGTTAGATGGAAAGAGAGATAGAATTGGGTGTCATTGGCAAGAAATGTAGACACAAACAATTCTCTTAGAAAATCTGAGCCGTAGTGAGTAACTGATAAGATGGCTGTAACTGAAGCAGCAGCAGCATTATACGTCTTCCCAGAACAGAGCTAACAAAGCAAATTTAATAAAAGCTCTTGCATTCATGTATAAACTGATTGCCTTCAGGGATCAGAAGGGCAATCATTCCGTGAAACAAACTACATTGCACAATTGGCAGGTGTATTAAAAAAAACTTTTGCCTTTTTAGCTGATGAACAATAAGAGGGAGAGGAAAGCTGCCAACCTGCATGCGACTGCTCTGTGGTCCAATAAGCTAAATATTCTGTTTCCAGTGTGACTCATGCCAGATTTGTTAGGAGGCAAGAACCCGATGATAAGAAGGTATAGAATAATCTGTCCATACTAATCTTTAATTGTCAGAGATTTTGCTCTAAACCAGATAAATTTTAGTGTATCATTCTTCCTAACAAAACTGGCAACCTTATCTGTTCTAATGGTGAGAAAACCTGCTCAACATTTGACCTCTGTTTCTCCAGGGATTTTATGTTTGCATAGTGAAGCAAACCTCATTTTGCTATGCTTTAACTATTCTACCTTTCTGTTTCAATGTATTCATTTTTTTTCCTCATTTCTGAGATAAATAAACTGTGCTGGAAGATCTTCTCTGACATAAAAGGAAATAAAGAACATTAATTTATTGGATAGCAAAATAATGGAATCATCAGCCTGCTTCACAAACACAGAGTTACAGGAATGGATGTGCTCCTGGATAAACGTAGAGATGGCTAACAGAGATGTCAAGGTCAAAGGTCACCCTCCAACAATTATCTCAGAGCTCTATAAAAAAAACCTTTCTGGTCTGACTCTATGGTGGTCCATCACAATTATCATTTAAACCCCCCAGGTTTAATTCCAGCATGAACCTGATAACCTCTCCAATCATACCAATTCCTCTATCAGAGAAAAAGTTGCTTAATGCTCCGTTTCTCTTCAGACAACAAGAATAAATCATTATTTACTCATGGTAAATCCTTCTTATATACAGTTTATTATTTTCAAGGGAGAAAATTATTCAAGCAATACTTGTTTGCCTGTTTCCATAAGCTTTCTTCATCTTGCTTCTGTGCACCAGAATCCAAGAAATCTTTCAGAATCTTGAAAACATTTAACTTTTTGAGAAGTCACAAGCATGTCACACTAAAAAAATCATTCCAACAGCTAAGAGAAAAAGGTGTATGAACAAATGCTTAAGCACATACGAAGATTAAACTTAAGTTGCTAAAAAGGTACAAAAAAAGAGAGTATATCTCTTAAATACATTATTAAAAAGTAAAAAGCATCAAAGCTTTGAGCAATCTTTAGCATTTAACATACCTAGATACACATGAAAATTTTTCTAAATGCTCACTCAGCCAACTCCCTGGTTAAAATTATGGTGTGAAGTACATGTTCTCTGTATGTTGTGTCTGCTGGTATGGCAAACTACTGCCTTATGAAATACGTCTTCTGAAATTTCTATGGGAATTTACATTGCTTTTGCTAACCCAGCAAACCACTGGGAGCATGGATTGCTTTGGGAACAAACTGCCAGGAGACCAACTTGCTGGTGAAAGAATTTGGTGAAGTATCAGTTTGCTACTTGAATTTTAGAACTCTAGGAGTTTAATGTGATACCATTTTTCCTCCATTGTTTTTACTGTCTTATCGTTTGTTTATATGTCCACCCTCAAGTGTTATTTTGCTAAGAGATACTCTACACAGCAATGTTATTGTACATCAACCTTGCTTCCCCTGTGATGTCTTCGGATGGAGAGCTAGCTAATCATTTGCAGTGAGTTTTACTACACAGTTATTCACATCTCATTTTAAGTACAATTTATATTCTTAGAGCTATATTTTTTACAATCCTTTTAATTATTTTAGCAGTCTATACATACAACATTTCAAGGCTTACCCAGAATAGGTATATAAAACTGGAGCCATTGTATTGGTTTGGATAGTTTGTTTATTCAAAGCAGGAAGCCACAAAGCCTACTGGGTGATCAGGGGTAATTCTTAAGCTTCTAGTATTGCCTAGCTCTGTTGTTGTAAGGATAATGAGGAAAAAGACTATGATCTCATTTTGGAAACATGAGCTTCCTGTAAATAAGTTGGGATACAGATATTTAACTGCTGTGATTTGTGCAGATACTGAACTGATATACCAAAAGAAGGCATGTGTTTCTTCTTACTCAAAATAAATTACTCTATAGATTACTACAGGATGGAACAGGGTAGGAAGGCAATTACGGTAACTTTATAGCTTAACTTGGTAAAAGGTGGGAGGAATTCTTGATAGTGCAAATAGAAGACAATACTCCAAAAAGATGTCTCAGTAGTACTTAATTTTGCCAAGCTGGAAGTGCGTACTGATGTTAGCAAATGTCAGAGCCTGAAGAATGCTTCCCAGACACATATGCAATGGCACTCACTGCCCCGCTTGTAATATTTCTTTGCTGTGATCATACTTGTCAAATGAAGCCTGAAAGCAACAAGTAAGACAGCATTTGGAAATGACAGCCTTTTGTGTGGAACTGGTATTTCCTCATTGTTTCCTTGTCTGTCCCCATGTGTTGTCTCTTGTCTTTTGTGAACCCTCCAGCTCAACAACCCTCTCAAGAGGTGAGTCTACAGGCAAAGGAACAATAAAACAATACAATACCCAGTCAGTACAAAAACAGGCAGCCATGAACAATATAAGCTCTTCAGATCTATTAGAGGCAAGACATCTTTAGGGAAAACTTAAAGCAGCAGCATTACTAAATTCCCAGTGATGTTGTCCAATGAAAGTCTAATTTTTTTCCCCTTAAGAGAAGGGTATTCTGCCCTGTTGTTACTTTTTGTGGGGGAGGAGTACCATAATTATTATTTAGCAATTGATGGGAACATAAATAATCAGAATATTGACTAATCTAGTTCAGAATTATGTACAATGACTACCAGTATATTTTTAAGATTTCAGTCAGATTTCAGTTAGAAGAAAAATGTAAGGTATTGATTTGCTATACTTGGGATAGAACTTTTTTCTCCATTGTTTTTATTGTCTTTTCCTACCTTAATGGTTGAAGATAGTGAAATATCTACACTCCTCATAGTGTTATATGTAGTGCACATTAAGTTTCCCATGGAAAGGACACAAATAATGGCCAAAATCAAGGTTGTACCTATTATAGCTGTGCAGTGGCTGAGGCAGAATTGCAATTATCAAAATACTTCCACTGGTGCACTGTGCAACCAGTTGTGCTAGGGTCAAACAACCAACTGTACAACTGCATATTTACACTGGTGTAGCTTAAAGTTATGCCAACACAAACAGGCTACTGGTCATTCTCCAGAATAGAAGCATTCACTGTTGTTTATGTGACTTTTGTACAAGGGGAAACTCCAGCAAAGAGGTGAAAGTATAAGGAAATCATATTTCTGAAGGATGGTGATGTTCAATGCCACCAATATACTGAGGGCATCCGATTCGATCTTTCCTTTCAAGCTAAATCTGAGGAAACTGTCTGAGTTAGTAATGGACAGGACAAAGGCAAGCAATCCTGTGCTTAATCCAGACAAGATAGTGGTGCTCATAGTCAGTCAGAAGGCAAATCAGAGAAAAGTGACTCAATTATAAACGCAGATTTGCAGCTTAGGTGTGTTCCTTGGAGTCATCCCTGAGCCTAGATGCTCAGGTCTTGGTCACAGTCAGAACTGCACACAGTTAAACTTGGTGTGCCAACTGTTCCTGTTCCTTGAAATGTCTGATTTGGCTACAGTGACATGTCTTAGTTACCTCCTTCTGGAAGCAGCCTATGTGAGGCTGCCTCTTCAACAAGTCTAAAACAGTGCAACCAGACTGTCAACAGCAATTACAGTATAGGGAACATAAAGTTGCCTTCCTTCAGCAACTTTACTGACTACTAGTCCATTTGAGTTATAATTTAAAATGTTGGTTATGAAATATAAAACCTATAGAACTTGGGTTATTTATCCTCCCATACAAATCTGCTTGGGCTTTAAGTGGGAGAGGCCCTTGCCAAGGTTACACCACCTTCAGTAGTCCATCTGGTAGAGAATTGAGAGAGGACCTTCTTGGTGGCCACACCCAGACTCTGGAACATCTTAGAGAGCTCTCTTCCTGACAGCAGAGGAAGACTTTTTACAGTAGTTTAAGAAGGCCTTTGGCAATTAACAGCCTGAAATTATATCAGTGGAATATGCTGATTATAATTGTTTCAAATTAAATTATCATTACTATTTTTAATTTATTTAAAGTTTTAATTTTAACTGTATTTTAATCATATAATTGAATTAATTCTATTTTAATGTTTGTCATTTTTATTGTATTTTAATCTGCTGTTGCTTTAAATTGCTCTATAAACTACCTTGGTTCTCAATTCTGGGAAAAAGCATAACAATGAAATAATCAATAAATTAAAAGAAAGATTGCAACTTCAGCTGTAAGGCCAAGTGGTCCAAAGTTGGACAAGAAAAAAAGAAAGGAGAGATTGTGTACAAGGTCAGCACTAGTATCCTGTTCTAAACTAAATGAACCCTGGAGGCATCTCTCCAACCTACTTCAAGACAGAAAGCTAGAACATCTGCTAATGGAAAATATAGATACACTTATTCACTAAATATAACATGCTTTCATAGTTAGTACTACATTTCTTTCTCTTTTTAAATTCAGTTGTGGAAGTAATTCAGATATTATATGTGGAACAGGATTATGAAATTACTGATTATTGGAATAATCACCTTCAAAATAAGAAGGCTGAAGGCTAGGTAACTACTGTACTTGGTATTCTTTCATCATGAATTACTGCACTACTTACAGAAAAAGCCGCAGCTCATATTTTACAGTAAGCATTGATGACTGAGAGCTAAGTGACTATTTGTACATCTTCATTAATAAATTACTTGCACTTCTTACACAAAAAGGTACAGCTCATCTTGCAAATAAGCAGTGAAGTCTGGGACCTCTAACAATTTAGGCTGCAAGGCAACTAAATACTACATGCTCTAGCTGAGTTTAAATTTTGATCTTCTTCCCAATGTTGGATGGGAAAAAGAAATAAGCCGACCATCTGAATTAGAGATATTCCTAATGGACTTCAATTATATCTTTATGCTCTGCAGATATCAAGTGTATGCCACTCTTTTTTCCTTTGGAAAAAATAATAGCAGTATTAAATCTTGGTTCCTGTGAGCTTGGGTGTTATCTTGGAGGATTTATGAAATATCATTCTTTTCTAGTGAGTCTTATTTTAAGATATGCCTAAAGTATGGTAGCCTCATACTTCTATCAAAGTAAAGGGCAGCCATGTGGTTAAAAAAAACAAATGCAAAAATAAGCAATACCTTTAAGCCTATTTTTGCATTTGTATTTTATTTTGTTATGTCCACGTGGCTACCCTTTACTTCAATGAAACTATGAGGATACCAAGAAATAGCCGCTGTCTCTCGCCCCCCTGTACCAACAAAAAGACACATGAACATTCAACATCAGCAGAGCAGGACTGCAACCACTAGGTAATATCAATTTGGCTTTAATCTGACCCCAATTGGCTAAACCTAGTGAGTTTACTAAATTATCACTCCAATTCCCAGATGGAGGACTCAGGCTCTATGTGCCAAACACACACACACACACCACTGGCCAAACAAGAACATATCTGTTTCAAACAAAGGCCAAATGGAGAACTGTGTTTGGAGAATGGGGTTGTTGCACTCATTCCATAGCTGCCTAAGCGATAACCATAAAACAGCAACCAGATTCCTGGCTCCCAGGCAAAACACACCTTGCCAAGGACTCCTGGACTTAATATCTAAGAGTAACTTTCCTGGCAAAATACATCCTGCCATGTACTTTTGGACTTCACACTGGTACAAACCTGGTGAAGTGATGTTTTAATGCACAAAAGCTTGTTCCTCATACTTCTAGTGAGAGTTCAAGGTTGACTTGATCTAGAACCCACTTACTGTATTTGTCCTTCTGGCATTTGTAATGTTCTCTTACAACACCGTCAAATTAGTCATTTCTTCCTGTCAGCTTTTTTCATTGTCCAGCTTTCACATCCATACACAATAATCAGGAATAACACAGTATAGATTATCTTGGCATTGGTTTCCAGCAATACACCCTTACACTTACAGATCTTTCCTAGTTCCTTCATAGCTCCCCTTCCAAGACTGAGCAGCAGTGTATTACTGAACAAAGTTATAAAAAACCTTTTACAACTTCACTTTCTTCATTGCTGAATTCTCCAGTGATATTTGCTTCTGTTTTTGTGTTCCACTGACCTCTGGTTATCAACCAATCTTCCTCCAGGTAACTTGCCTAAAAACTTTCAATTTCTTCTTCAGCATCAGCAGTGGGACTATAGATCGAAATAATATTAACAGGCTTTCCATGCAACCTGATTGATATTATTGAGTCATACTTCACATTATAAACCCTAGCTGCTTTTGCTACATTTTACTAGTAGAGTCATACCATTTCTTCTGAGCTTGATATTTTCATAGTAAAACACATTTTAATTCTCTGATTAAAATTTTCACATTCCAGTTCACTTTAGTATTTCAATTTTATAATGTTTAAATGTCCATTTCTTGTATTATGACATCAAGCTTACCTTACTACTACATATATTAGATGTTCCAATTATACATGTTGTGCAGCATTGGACATTCTACCTCTGGGTATATCAGCACTCAGACTTCCTTTTGACTTTAATCCAGTTTCTCCATTCATATCACTGGTATTCCTACTCATTCTTGGGTTTAAATAGCTAACTGATTGCCTTCCAGCCTGGGAGTCTCACCATCCAGCACCTTCTTTCTTTGTTTTCGTCTATCTCATCATAGGGTTTTTGAGGTATAAAATATTCAGAAGTGGTTTACTATTGCTTTCTCTGCACCTATCACAACTGGAACTATCAATTCTCTTCCACTGATGTGATATTTATGTTCTACTCTAGTATTTCAGCTTTGACCATCCCACTGCTGCTGACCCTTCTAAGAGTCCACCAGCCTCACAACAAAGTCTAGCCTTGTAATGGCACTGCTTTGAAATTCCTTGATACTCCCAAACCACCTCACCTTGTTAAAAGCAAAGCAAAGTGTGCTGCTTATATACCGCTCCATAGTGCTTCAAGCACTCGCTGGCGGTTTACAAGCTAATTATGCAGACTACATATTCCCCCCCCCCAAGCGGGCTGGGTACTCATTTTACTGACCTCAGAAGGATAGAAGGTTGAATCAGCCTTGAGCCAGCTACCTGGGATTGAACCCCGGGTTGTGAGCACAATTGTTATAGCTTTAAATATAATATTTTGCTCTAAACTTCTTACTGGATGTGTAAGAAAAACACACACAAAGGAAATTACTATTTAAGTCTATCTCTTAAATAGGCAGATTCTGCATGCTACAAAGTGTAACTTATAAATCTATCTATTCCCACTCCACCATAGGGTCCTGTACAAAGGTATTTCAGATTTCATGGACATATATGACCTACAAAACAAATACAATCTCTATTCAAGGTAAGGTAGGGTAGGAACCTTCTTCATCCCATTATCACCACTGTACCTTGTCCATTTGCTTAAAAGATAAAGATGGAGGATGTCCAGACTGAGAGATAAAATTGCATTATCAGTAAATAACAAGTGTAATAAAAAATTGCAAAAAGGAAAAAAAATTAGTTTAAGAAATAACACAAAAATACATAATCAACAATAATTATATATGGCTAGAACTACGTACTATATAATAACATGTACAGAAATTCTACTCCATGACTTTGATGGTAAGGAAGGCTACTCACTGGAGAAAGTGACATCCAGTACAAGGATAGCATATTTGAACTTGTGACTAGTAATAGCAGTATCGTAGAAATCCAAGCCCAAAAAGAGGAGGCATTGAAGGAAGGAAAGCACACCCACTGTGATGCCATAGCAGCAGGCCGCTCCATTATCATTCAGAACACAATGTAGCTTGGAAGATGTTACGAGGTTTTGATACCCTTCAGTCACCAAGGATGCAAAGATAGTGAGAGAGAAAACCTGGTACAAGAGAAAGTGAGAAATAAGGTAACATCAATGGTGCCATAATACCATATGTGTCACATATAAGACTTTTTTTTAATTTATTTTATTTACAAAAATATATTTTTTTTGCAATTTCTCCAAAGGTCCAATTTTCTAGTGTCTGTGCAGAGATGAAGAGCAGCATGTTTGGCTGTCCATCTTTCCCTCCCACTGTTTACATATCACAAGTGGATTAATATTCTGCTCCTAAAGCAAAAGTCCCTATGTTGTTACAGGTTAAGAAAGGGCTCTAGGTTGACTGTGTATGTGACTGAAGGCAGTGGTGGGCACGGGCAGGTCTTGGATCCCTCCTGCTCATATAGCATATACAGATGGGAATGTTTAAATAAATCAGATGAACAAAATGGAAGTGTGTGATTTAAACCGGGTGTCTCTGTATAAATCATTTTGCCTGTTTATGTTGCACTTCAATTAGATCACCAAATAGCAGTTTTGGGAACTGGTCACCACACATACCTTCCTCTCCTTATACACACTCCCCCAAATATGTATTTGACCTGTAGGTTGTGAAAAAATTTTAGCTGTAAAAGACTGCACAAAGCCCATAGCCTACCCACTTGTAATCTAACTATATCCCATGCTAAAGCCTCAGTTTCTCTGCAGATTCAGGCAGGTATTTTTCTGACATCTTAAGAAAGATCCTGATTCCAGATGAAGCTATTGCTCATACAAGTAATTTTTTGCAGGCGGTACCATATTTCTTTGATTAAATGCATATTGCACTGCTCAATACCTAATGTAAATAATACAAAATTCACTTTGACAAGTAGCACAGAAAAGATGCACAATATTTTATACAGCCATCTTTGTAAGATGGATATATAAAAAGGGAATTTTGATTACACAAATTGAAACTAATATGGGGACACAATTATAATCAGATAAACATAGTTCAGATAATGATGGTCATATTATAAATGAGAGGATAAAGAACATAAAATAAAAATTCCAGTTAAGTCTGCTCATTCTGGCAAAATAGCTCCAAAAGAACTATAGTACTGTACTGCTTATAAAGCTCTGTGCAGTTACGGAGTAACAGTTACTTTGTAAATGTCCCAGACAGTATCTACTGCTGTTCTTATAATACTGTACTTTGCAATGGAAAATCTTCTTTGGAACATAATTTTCATGTAAAATTTAAAAAGTGATAGTAGAATAATTGCCCCTCTTAACCAAGTCGCTTCCATATGTGCTCCTGAACTTAGAAGTCAGTGGGGCCAGTGCTTAATTTTGTTGTTGTTTTTTCCTCACCGCTGCTAGTATTCTGGCAATGATCTCAGGTCTTATAAGAAAGTGCACTATGTCATGGTCTGAGTAGTCTTTTAAGACTGAAATCAGTTTCCTCATCCTGCAGTTGTCTTTTTGTTACTTGCACAAAGCTGGATCTTGAAAGGCACTGAAAAGGGAAATTGAGAATAATTAAATAGATAGAAAAGAGCAGTGTAAATCCTACCAAAATCCTATCTGCCAACACCTGAAGATTCAAGTACCATGTTTTCCTAAAAATAAGACAGGATCTTATACAGTATTACTTTTTGCTCCAAAATGCATTAGGGCTTATTTTCAGGGTTTTTTTTTCCATGTACAACAATCTACATTTATTCAGTCATGTCATCTTCTTCTGGTTGCTGCACAATGGTGGAGGGCAGGGTTTCACTTAACTGGGGCTTGTTTTTGGCGTAGGGCTTATATTACGAGCATCGTGAAAAATCATACTAGGGCTTATTTTCAGGTTAGGTTTCATTTTCGGGGAAACAGGGTAGTAGATAAAAGTTTGTTTCTCAGATCTACAATATGCTTCAACCCTGGTACATGATCACTATCTTCCAGTCTACAGAAGGAAACATAATGAAAATGAATCTAATAAATTTGTGCAATTACAATATTAATTGTATATTAATAGATTTTTTAAATTTTTATTTTGCTTAATGGTAAATCATAATCTTAACTGACTTGCAGCTGTGCTCCTATGAAGTACACATTGTTTTTGCAGTTCATTTCATGCAAAGCTTAAGAATATTTGCTTATTTGTTTGGAAATAAATGTTATTAAACTCAGTGTGACTTTACTTCTGCTTAAACATGCCTGGGATTGTCCACATTTAGGCCAGAATTCTATTACTGATGGCCAGCAGCATAAATCTACTGATAGCAATCTCAGCAGTGAATTGTCACCATTTATGAAGTCAGTGTAGGCTTTAGGTGTTGTACACCAGTTACATGTCTTGGCATGTGACAACAAACACCTACACTAATGGTATTAGTGTAGCAGCAATTTGTCACTGAAATGTATGGCTGTGGCCTACTTCTTCAGTAGGATTCCAGATACTAAATTTGTTTGGAAAACCATAATTAAGTAATAAATAGAAAGTTTTTGAGATCCTTTTGACCAGGATGAAATTTAATTTCCAGGAAATAGTTTTGTTGTTGTTGTTTCCAATTTGCTATAATATTATGATGGTCAGAGAATTTGATTTGAATTTATTTAAAAGGAGAAAACAATGCAATTTTTCTAGAGTTAGAAATTTATTTGATTGTGTAAAAAAGGACAAGCAGCATTCAGTCGCCATCCACTTGAGATAAGGATGGCACTACTTAATTACTTGAACTGGAATTATGAAAAATAGAAAGGGACCAAAATTCAATACTAGTTCTACTTACCGTAGACCAACTGAAGTGAACTGAATTTATGACTAGGTTCATTTCAATTGGACTCTTATTGGATTCTGGACAATAATAAACTAATGTAAGTATTCTTTATTTTAATGGATCTATTAGCATTGGATTTAGCTCTATTATTTCAGGATATTATTTAGACCATGTACATTACCAGTTATAACAGGCTGAAATATGCTTCAGAGTCATGACCTGCAAATATTCATACATGCTTTGTCTTGGGCTTAAATAGCATCTCCAGAAATTTATAACAGAATCACAGTAAAGAAATGTGGAGGTTTGATTCTTGGGGAGATATAGTAAATAGGGACAGAATGTACTATCTAGCACCTTCACACTATCAGGAAACTATAGTATCCAAACTAATATTGATTTTAAAACATTTGCCATGTTTTGTATGCCTTCCCTATTTCCTGTCAAAATGTGATTATTTCTCAACAAATTAATCTTAAGAATCTCTTTGACTATTATATCCAGACAAACCCAACAAAAATATGGCATCTTAAAATACTGTTATCTTGTAGTGTGAGCTTTCATGGATAAACTATTTTGTTAGACTAAGCTCACACTGGAATACAGTAATTTTTAAGGTGCCACGTATTTTTTATTTTGTTTTGGTTTCATCTGGATATAGTTGCAGGGATTTAAAAGGCTACTTATTTGAAAACTACTTCACTAACTACTAATTTCTTTATAAAATGATTTATGTGCACAAAATCTTAGAATTTTTGTTTAGTTAATACTGATTAAATCAAATGAAATATTGTACAATTATATTGCCTGACTTCTTTACAAAGATTATTCCTTTGTCCTCATCAAACTTCACCAAGATGTTTTCTGTGAATTTATTCTTTTATATAATCCTCGTTACAGGTTTAGAAATTCGCCCGTTAACTGTACATTTTTGGTGCAACTCGGTAGAGGATAAGGAATAAAATGAGCTGTATTTTGACTCCTACAGAAAAATGTGAATCTAAAATTATGCCCCCGAGTGTTTATTTTCCAGATTAAATGAACCCGTGTTCAGTGTCTGCTGTGTTAGCTGTCACTGCTTGACCAGTTTAATTTCGGGCCTTTATAGTGAAGACTAGATGGGAGGAGGGAGGGTAAACACGAAGCCCTGACCTCCTTTCAGGAGCGGGAAAATAGATAGCTGTAGTAAAAAAATCCAGTAAGCTGCTCCTTCACTAAGGTAAGGCGTTGGCTGAGGAATACTGTACTGAGGAAAGTATCTGTTGCATACACGATCTCCTTGCTGGAAAAATTCTGTTAACCACAAAGCCCAGCTACGTATTTTCGATTTAACAGCCTAAGGAAAATAGTGAAGGGGTTTCACGGGATTTGGGAAACACAGGTCTGATTAATTATTTTCCCCCTGTTTCTTATCGTTTCGCCAAAACAAAAACACACACCTTCTTTCTCAACCCCTCCCTGTTTTTTTGGAGACTCAAGTTACGATTTTCCCGCCTTTTCACTCCCTTTCTAACTGCAGTGCGCGCTTCCCCAACATCCGAACAGAGAGAAAAAGAAAAAGAGCGTCTGACAGAACTCGAAGCCTGATTGGTCCACTCCACTGACTACCCCTACCACTCAGACAGTTGGAAATAACTGTTGGGGGAGGGGAGGAGAAGATCGCGCGCCACTTCAGAACCTCTGGACTGCGCACAAGAGAAGAGGTGGGCGGGAAGCAGCGACGCTTTGCGCATGCGCAATTTGGAAAAGTGGAGCGAGACAGAGAGAAAGTAGTGCGCTTGCGCGCATTTGATAAGAAACTACAGTACTTGGCCTGTGACTGCAAAATTTAGTGACAGACCTCAGTGTGCAGTGGCATTTGGGCACTGAGCATGGGGTTCTAACTATCTAGGCCCCGGCTTCAATAACCTTTTTCCGACGAAATCACTTTGAAATAATATATAGGAAATTGGCTGGGGAAAAACGGCGTAGCGGAAATGCAACGTTGTGCATGCTCATATTCTATTTTTTTCTATCTCTGTGGTATAGTCTGACGTAACAGGGTCCAGATACAAGCAATTGCGCATGCGTATGTCGCGGAGCGGGCCCAAAACAACTGGAGAGCAAATAAGATGAAAGGAAGGAGTTAAGGGCAGAAAGGGGGGGGGTGAGAGAGAGAGAGAGAGAGAGAGAAAACGAAACACGCGCCTGCGCAGTATAAAGTCAATGTCAGCCCTTTCTATTTTAAGGTTAGAGTTTGGTACTCTCATGGTCGATTTCTTTTTCCGCTCCCTTCCAACCTCTCCTGTTTCCATCGGGCCAAAAGTGAGTTTGCTTTTGCCCGAAGAGGAAAGAATGGATAACTGCTTGGTCCGTAAGTTGGTCGGGGGCGTTGCACAGAATGGCGAGGAATGACCTTTACCCTCATCAGTTCAGACACTTTGATGTATTTGTGGCTGGTGGTGAACTTTGACCCTTGCATCTTGTTTTGCTCCTTTGATTTGGACCAGGGCTCGCTGAACTGGGGGTGGTGGTGAAGTCTTGTCCTGTGGTGCATGAGCCTTCTGCTTTGGCTGAAACTCAGATCATGAACATCCTTTGCCTTGCATACCGTATCCACTGATGAATTTGGGTCTCCTTGGTCTGCCTAAGCCTCTGCTGACTTTTGATCTTGTTGCTTTGAAGGACATGCCTGCAGCATTGCTTTCTCTAAGTGGTGGTATCTATTTGCAAATTAGAGTTGATTATTAAAAAGAACTTTTCAAAGGCAACCCAAACATGCCCTGATACTGCTGGTTTTCTGACTGTTGACCTTTGGACTGCCCTAGAATGCTGTGTGTGGCACGACTGGCCCTAGGGGCTGGGGTTATAGGATTGCCATGCCGTGGTAAGTCTTCCCTAGCTGCCAAGATGGTGAAATACCGGAAGATGTGGAAACCGACAGAGCCACAAAACTGGGCAGTGGATTATCAAGAGCGATACATCCCCTTTTCCAAGGATCAGCTGGTGGATGCCCTAGTAAAGGTATAAATAGGAGCCCGCATGAATTCTGAAAACTCAGAAAAATATGGTGCAGTTACAGAATTCAAAAATCTCCCTTTCAACTTTTACTTAACTTTCTAGCTCCTAAAAGTGGTAAAAATAGGTTTCAATATGTTTGGGTGCATGTGTTGAAATACTGGAATCAGGGAACTTGTCCAAACAATTGCTAGCAGTTAGAAAGCAGTTCCTCCATGCCTGTTGCTAGCACAAACAGATGTAGCAGTAAAAAAAAAAAAGTATCACTTTTCTTATTCTATACTTTTGGCCCAGAACTTTGGTTAGTTTTGTGCAGAAAATGCTTTGTTTGACCTTTCAGTGAGAAGTGTACACTGTCTTGGGTACAGCTTAATTCATTCTGCACCAAAGCCATTTGCATCCTAAAGGTAAACACCTCTCAGCATGTGAGAACACTGAATAATACACTTCTGTTGTTTAAAACTTTAAAACTTCATGAGTGCTGCAAGCTGGTGTTATATTAAACAGAACTGATGAAGGCCCTTGTGGAAAGCTTAATCTTGGTTAGATGGCCAAAGCAGAGATGTATGAAGAGTTCAGATATTAACAAATTAATGTCTAAGTGTAGAAAAACCCAGTAGTGGATGGATGATCAAGAAAAAAATATGTTTAGCTATAAATACTCTTAAGCTACTTTTAAGTATGTCATTAAGGTACTAAGTAAGTAAAAATACAAGGTATGTAATAAAGTTCACAATAAAGTTAACTAAACATGAAATTAATATACAGTACTTTCATTAAATAAAAGTTGCAATAAAAACTAGATATCAAATTATTTTTGGAAGTGTTTAGTAGAATAAGAACGCCTAGTCCAGTTTCTGAAAAGGGGCTGGTGAAAGTAAAAGAGATGTTCCATAGTTCTGGAGCTATGCGTTTTTAGTAGAAGAGGTTGTATCTCATAAGAGTATGGAAACGAGTAGGGCCTTGTTAGCAAATTGTAATCCCCTGGCTGGAAGTGTGTTTGTAGCACAGGAGAGAGGATTTATTTTTGTTTATGTGTGTGCATGTGTCTGGTCTCTATTATTATTATTATTATTATTATTATTATTATTATTAGTCTGTTCAGTTAGCTCAGTGTAGCATGCAAGGCTGTTTCTTCTTTCTGCTCACAACTACACTATGGGACAGGTCAGGCTGAGAGTGTGTCCCTAGCCCAAGGTCTCTCAATGAGTTTTATGGCTGGCAGGGGATTTGAAGACCTCAGATCTCCTGAGCCCTCTAAATCACTACACCACACTGGTTCTCTGGATTGTATGGGTGAAGGTCTTCCAAATCAGATAAAGATGTACAACTCGAACCTACCTGGCACAAAGGTGGTTTAGGTCTTTCTGAAAAGGTTTTTTAAAAAAGGGGGAAATGAAGAAACATGTGAACTAACACATTAAGAAGGAGACAAATCATTGCAGGTATGGTGAGTTGCATGACCTGGAAAAGAAAAGACGACAAAAGGGATAATAAATGATATTGCAAAAAAAAAGAGAGAGGGATGCAAAAAACAAAGATGAGGGAGGAACAATGATTAGAATTTCTGGCTATCCAGGATTGCTGTGCTTAGATCAACAGTACACAGCTTAGGTCCTGCAGATTTTTTGGACTGCAACTAACATCAGTCTCACCAGCAACATCAGTGATAAGGAATAATGGGGTTTGTAGTCCAAAGCATCTGAGGACTCAGGGTTGCCTCCTGCTGGCCAAGTTTCTTCAGCAGTATTCTGAAAGTATGAAAACTGTTTTGAGCATTCTGTATGTGGAAGGTTGTGTATTGTTTAGACTGAAAACTATGATTCCACTTTTTGTATGTGACTTTGCTCCCCATGTGTTACCTTTGTGTCAGAAAGAAGAGTGCTTTTTGTGAATCAGAATGAGAGTAGGGGTGGGCCGAGAACAGCATGGCTAAATTTAAAGAGGATCACCTTCTTGAGGTAGGTCAGAAGAAATAATTTGGCTCAAGGGCATTGGTAGTGGCACACTATGAACTGAGCCCATTTCAGTTTACATCAGGGTTAGTAACAAGGTGGGGGGCTTCAGATTAAGAGAAAAGTCTCAGGGTTCATGGTGCCAACAAAGGAAAAAGTTTGATCTGTTGTGTACGGAGCCTTAATGCCTGAGCAGCCATCTCTACATTCCTAGCTGGTGTCAGGGCTTACCAGCTCAGTGTGACAGTGTTTGTAGATGTGTTGCACCTACTGTATATTGGTTGTTTTGCAATTACTGGACAATTACAGTACAATCATTTTTGCAGTTATTTCACAAGGGTCTGTTTCCTGGGATATCACAAAGGCCCACCCTTTGGTCTCAGATTTTGTCCTTGAAATGTTCGGGAAGCTGCTAACCAGCAACCCTAAAGATACTTTGAGAAGGATCTCCTTGAGAAATCTTAACATCCAGGCAAACTTGTGAGAATATAGTTTTCCAAACACCTGTTTATTCATTTGCAATATTTCTGTTGTTTATTAAAAATCAGTTTCTAAGCAGTTTGCACGCAACCAATGGTATAGGCCATCACCTCAGACACTGCTGTGGTTGACTAAACAAAGCATCTTTTTTACATAAACAACTTCATTTTAATGTGACATGAAGAATTTCTCCCCACAAAACAGGTTGCTGCTTGGAACTGCTTTTGGCTTGAACTGTGCTCTCTTTTCCTTCCCTCAGGAATTCCACTCGTCCAGCCCCGCAGATCGAGAGTCGTTCATGGCGTTTGTCTCCCATGTGGATTCCAATCTTCTGCTTCGTTACCACTCTGTCCGAGAGCAGTTACAAGTAATAATAACAATGTGCCTTGTTTTTCCATGAATTGTATATTGGACCGCAAGACAAGTATTAGGGTGGGAAGCTAAGAGCTTGCCGCAGAAGCAACGTTCCCTCTAATTTTCATCCCCGCTGGGCAGGGCTTCGCCTCTCTTTCTCGCAGCTTCGCCCCTGCATGAATGTGCGACTCTGCAACCCCTTCCCCCCACAAAGGGTTCTGTTGCAACCAGAATCTAAGGGGTTAAATGTGATCACTGCGAGGAGGAGGAGGAGGAGGAGCAGGAGGAAGAGGAGGAGGAAAATGCATGGAGGGAGGCAGAGACACACACATTAGGCTCTGATGAGCATAAATATAGCCATGTATCTATATTTATTGGTTAAACATTGTTGCAGCTTTGATGTTCCATCAAATTGCTTCCAATCTATGACAACACTGATAGGGGTTTTGAGATATGTGAGATATTCAAGGTGTCATTTGCCATTGTCACATACCCCTCTGAATTTCCGTGGCCGAGTAGGAATTTGAACTCATGTCTCCTAAGTCCTGATCTGACACCCATATCTATTAAACCACACTATCTATTATTTATTAGTTACATTTATATTCCTTCTTTCCATTGATGAATATACATGGCCCTCCTCCTATCTTCAGAGGCACCCTGTAAATAAGCATGACTGAAAGTGTGTAACTGGCCCAAGGCTGTCCAGTGAGCCTCATGCCTAAGTGAAAATGAGAACCTGGGTCTCTCAAGTCCCAGTTCAGCAATCTGGCCAAAACACCACCTTGATCCTCTACACAGGCCTTTATTCAATTTTAACTACCTTTCAACTGGCTGGGGAAGCTATAACAATAGCAATAAGCGAGAGGCTTGTTTTCTTCTGCAGCCAGCACAGAAATGCATCCAGTTGTGCAGATCTGCTGGCAGAGGGATGGAGTGTGCCTTGTCTTCCACCATCCTCCACATTTTAATGTGGCGCAGAAGGAGGGAGCTCCAGTTTCTCCACAGCCAGCATAAAAAGTGAGTGGGCTGGTAGAGAAGTGCTGGAGCAGACTTCCCTTCCTTATCCAGCCAACTTGCCCAGCAGCAGAGAACTGTTTGTAGCATATGACAAGCAATTAGTGAAACATGATGTTATCTTCATACTAATAACTGTTCTACTGTTTTTTCTCTCTCTCTACCCCCCGGCCCCCGCCAGTTTCTGTATGCACCTATTAATCCTGATCGGGACACACTGGAGGAGTTCTCTATGACAGATGCTGAGCGGTTAGTGAAAGAACAGGAAGTTTTGGCCAAGATGGAGCCACTGCTGAACCAGGCCAATTTCAACAGCTTGTCAGAAGAAGCCCTGGCTTATGCCCTTGTGGTCCATCACCCGCATGATGAAGTCCAGGTGTGGCCTTGTGCTTGGGTGAGGGGAGGGCACATCCTCTTCCTCCTTAGAACATACTGACTGAAATCAAGCCGTCTGCATAAAAATGTGGTGAGAGTAAAGTGTGCCAGTCCTAAAATATTTTTCTACACCTTCCACCACATACGGTAGAATCATAGAATAATTCGAGTTGAAAGGGGCTTGTAAGGCCCTCAAGTCCAACCTCTGGGCTCACGTACATCAATTACAACATGAAAGGGGCAGGATCTTTCCTAGCTGATATCTGCTGTGATGGTTTTCTGTTTGCTAGGGATTTTTGGCATAGGAGAATATTCATACCTGTGATTTCTTCCCTCAACAGGCTGGAGTAATTAAGCCTATTTTACCACCTCATGCTGTTGCATGTAGACCAGCCTGAATCTAGCCTTGGGCTTGATTTGTGCAGGCCTAGACTGAAGTCCCTGAAGTTCATTTCTATTCTCTGAAGCTTCTGGAACTAAACAGGAATACTTCTCATCCTTTGGGGATTTGACCAACCCTGGAATTTTTGTTACTGAGAAGATTATGCTACTAAGTATGGGTAGAACTAAATGAAAGGCCCTCCGGTTTATCTGGCTTTGTGCAGGAGGGGTCAACAGCAGAGCTCCAAACATTTTTTAAACCCCATACGTTGGAGCTTTGTGATGTCAGCCATTTGCTTAGATTAGACTTATTTTTGAAAGTCTGTGCAGGATCATATAAAAGGCATATCTAGTCTACCATTCTGTCCCCGATAGTGGTATGTGGATGTGCGATTTTGGTCCACAACTCCCAGAGTCCCCTAAGCAGCTATGAGAGTTGTGATCCAAAATCACAAATCTGCAGAACTCTTATTTCCTGTTGTAGCCAGCCAGATCCCCTTGCAAATCCCACTAGTGGGACATGGAGGCAATAACCCTCTCATGATTCTTCTTCCTAGCAACATGCATCCAGAGGCATACCGGCTTTGATACAGAGGGAAATGCATAGCTACCATAGCTGGTAGTCATTTATAGCACTCTCTTCCATGATTTTTTTCTGTAAGAATGAACACAGTAGAAAATGCTCATACTATTTTTCATTGATTGCATAGCTTGTTTTATTCACATGTCCAGTATTAGGTTTTTATTACTCATTTATTTATTTTCCTACTACACTTATGCTAAAGGTGTTTGGTGGGTTGATTGCTGTTAATGCTATCAGGTATTTGAAAAATGCGCTGGAAAAAAGTTTAGCTAAAAAAATGTGGCAAACTGAAAACCAGAACATTCACACTAGGCCCTGACAGGAGTTGCCACTAAATACCTATCACTCCTCCCCCTAGCAACAAGTGTAATTTTTTTTTGCCAGATCTGTCATTCTTTCTGCAGGTGACAGTGAATCTGGATCAATATGAATACATGAGATTTTGGGCCCTGGGCCAACGGATCGGGCCCCTGCGTGTGATGACCACGCTTCCGGTCCAAAAGAGGGGGTTCTTTGACAAGACTCGGATTCCATCAGACAGGCAAGAAAATATTGTCTCCCTGATATCTGTTGCCATCCAGTGAGATCGTTTTGAGGAGAGCTGTTCCCAAGATGCTGCATTAACATAGGAAGCTGCCTTCTCCCAGGTCAGACATCCCTCCATCTAGCTGAGTATTGGAAGTAAGAAGAGCCCATGGATCTCTCTCATCCGGCATCCTATTCATAAAATGACCACAGTCAAGGATGCTTCTGGGAAGCCCACAAGCAGAAAATGAGGGCACCCGCCTTCTCTTGCTATTATTCTTCAGCAACTTCTATACAGGGGCATTCTGCTTCTGATGTTGAAGGTAATACATTGCCACAATGAGCACTAGGCAACAATAGTGATTCTTGCCTGTTATGGCTTATTTGGTCTAGCTAAGGAGAATTGACTGAGCACATCTATGAAGTGGTGACTTCATTGTTGAATGAGAGGGTGTCCCCTGCTACCTTCAAAGAGGCATTAATGTGACACAAATCTTTTGAAAACACCTCTCTCAACCTAGAGGTTTGTAATAACTGCCGTCTGGTAGGAAATCACCCATTTTTCGTAAAGTGTTTGAGCGGGCAGGAGTGACTCAGCTTCAGGCTTATTTCCTTGACTTTTTCCTCCCCATTAGCTATCTGGAGCTTTCTTATAGGTGGTATGATTGCATTTTATGTTTTATTGTGTTGTTGTAAAGCATTTCAGGCTTTGTACAAATGAACGACTAGAAGAATTCCTGTGCTAAGCTTAACATCTAGCTAGAAAGCAACAGCCTGATGCCAATGTTAGTTTAGACAAGATTTGTCCCACTGAATCAATGAAATGTGCACAAGTTTTAATGTGACAAATGTCCACTGATTCTATGTCTCTAAGTGGAATTGACAATTTGAATTGGGCCAGATTCTTTAGTTTAACCAGTGGGAATAGCATTCCACTGTTTCTGGTTGTGATCTTTCCCAACATCCCCCCACCTTACCTTTCACAAACTGGGAATTCCAGGGGCTGAACCTGGGACCTTCTACATGTGAAGCATGTACTCTGCTTTCTGACCTACAGCCCCTATGCCAGACCTTGTATGTCATTGTGGCAGGTTTGTATCATAAAATCCTCGATGTATCATAAAATTTGAGTTTTCTTTTGCCAGAACAACATTTTATTACTTGCCACCAGAAACTAAAATAAATTCTCTTTCTTAGAACTGGAACTTTTTAGAGATTAATCTCTTGCAGAATTCTTGATTTAGAAAGAAAATATTGCTGGGTTTGTTTGTTTGATCTTTGGCACAATAAGAAGCTTGAATACTTTTTTTACACTGTTTATGTGTTCTAGTGTTGTTGTCCTTTCTCTTCTCTTGATCCAGGCGTTACTTCAAACGAGTGGTGGTGGCTGCACGGGTTAAAAATGCCTACTTGATGCTGAAATGCTTTAAGGACATTCCCTTGGAAGGCCTAGAGCAGCTGCTGCCAGCCGTCAAAGTCCGCACCTCCATCCTTTACCGCACACTTCTCAATATGATGCTTATTGTGAGCGGTTTGGCTGTTTTTGTCAATGTTGGCATGGTGGTGCTTTCTGACCTTAAGATTGGCACGACCACGCTGCTGATTTTTTTCGCTGCCTTAATGGCCTTCCGGGCTTCGAAGGTATGTCTAGATTGTTGTCAAGAAAATTGCAAGTCATACTAGAATTCTGTTTAAAAAAGCCAGCTTATCTCTGAAACACATTCACAACCACAGGTTCTTCGAAAACATAGTCCATCTCTTTCTGCATGCTATAGTTCAGGGGTCCACGGCCTGGTACCGGGCCTGGGCTGGACTGAGCCGCAGAGACAGATCTCCCACTCCCCTGCACACCCGCCCCCCCCATAGCACCTTCGTGTATGCACACAAATGCATGAGCGAGCGCCTCCCACCCCTTCGCACACGTGTGTGCCCCCCATGCCCCCCCACCCTTTGTGTATTAGCGTGTGCCCATGTGAGCACCCCAGCTCCTTCGCGCAAGTATGTGCGCATGCGAGTGCACCCCCCACTCCTTTGTGTGTGAGCGTGGGGGGTGCCCTGTGTTCCCCAGTCGGTCCATGGAGTTAAAAAAGTTGGGGACCACTGCTATAGTTCAGGGGTCATCAACCCCCGGTCCGTGGCCCAGTGCCGGTCCGTGGGCTTGTCGGAACTGGGCCGCGGATATGGATCTCCACCAGCCCCCCACATCAGGAGTGGGCAATTACTTTCTATAGGGGGCCACATGAAAAATCTGAACTTCGTTCGGGGGCCGAACCAACTTTACTTAAAAATAGGCCCCCATTAGTTGGGTAGTAATAGGCCCCCAATTTGTGGGTAGTAATAAGCCCCATTGGGTGAGGCCCTGCAGTGAACAAACTACAAGGCTGACATAGTTAATTCCCTAAACTTTTTTAGGACTGGAGCGACGACTGGTTGGCCGGACAGGAGTGGCCCATGGGCCACGCTTTGTCCAGGTCTGCCCCACACCCTCATGCAGGGGGCATGTTATGCTTGCAGTGGGTGTATCACGCTTGCAGTGGGAGTGACATGCAGGCGGTGGCATGTCGC